GTATTTCTGGTATCATATTAAAATACATTCATTAATATCAATTTTATAATAATGTATTGTATAATGTTTTTAATATTAATTAAATAATGATTTGGTAGCAAAGGCTGTGTTTGCAGTGCAATTTTATTTGTTCTAATGAAAATATATAAGAGTGTATGCAAATTTTGGTTTAATTTTGTTTTGGATTCTATTTTATTTGTACTGCAACCAAACAAAAGTAAGGTAAATTTTGAAATAAAAATTTACACCCAAAACGTTGCACTACCATAGTTTTGCATCTAAATTGGCACTGCAACCAAACATAGAGAAAATAACAAATCCAACCCATATCAGGTTGGACGAAAACTCAAACAGTGCAAATCTAAGCTTAAAGCATAATATTATTGATTACTTGATATATTCCTTTCGGTTCTCTTTCTTAGTTTTCACTTACCAAAAGTCTAAATAATGGAATTCGACCAACTGCTCCACTTACTAATTTAGAACTCGGATATCACAATTGAATTAAAATCATTCTTCTAGTCAAAAATAAAAGGGAAACTTGCTGAAACCTCCCTTGAATTTTTGGTTGTGGCTGAAACTTCCGTTGAAATTTAGTAGTTGCAATCACCTCTCTTGAACGTTCTGGCATAGTTGTAAGTATATGCCCTCTGGAAGAACTTTCTTAGAGAAGGCATAAAAATGTTCAAAATACACATACAATTATTTTTAGGTTGTGTTTAATTTGAAAGAGAAAGTAGGGAAAGGTAGGGAAATTACTTTTAGGCTATGTTTAGCTTGAAAGATAGGTAGGGAAAGGCAGAGAAACCTTAACAGACCTTGTATAGTTTTTCCTACCTTTCCCTACTTTTCTTTCAAATCGCTTTTCTAAAATTGATTTATTTCTCAAATTTGGCCTTCATATCAATCACTCAAAGGTAAAGCTACATCTTTAAATTTTCATTGTTTTTGTTGTTCATAAGGTTTGTATTGTATTTTTCCCATAGAAACCAACATCAATAGTAATTATATGGGTATTTGGACATTTTCTTGTTGTATTTTAGACATTTTTCATTTATAAAATGTACTTTCATCATAACTTACCTGAGGTCTTGTAGGTTCCTCAAAAAGTAAGTCTACTAGGCTATGCTTGGGGTAATAAGGCTTTTTGCTTTTATATGAGAGCTTTTTTTGCTCCATTGATGGTGTATTTGATTTTGTTTCTATATAGTGAGTGTCAGATTTTTCTTATTCTTCTTTCAGTTTTTTAGAAGATGTTTTTGAAGATTTTCCTTTTTCCTAGTTGGAATTGTGGAATGAAATCATTTTGTTGCTACATCCTTGTAGCTCATTTTGGACAAGTCTAGCACATTTCACTTGATTTTCGTGTCTTGAGGAAAGTCTAAAACTTCCAGGGAATTTAATAGGGTTTTCGATTTGATTTGTTTGTTTGCTTAAGACATTCAGGCAAATGTTGGTATAGTTGTTTTGTTCTATTATTTGGGAACAATGTTCTGGTATTACCTTCTCAGCTTCTTTTATTGTAGAAATATGTCTAATTGGGTTGGTTTTTAGTTATTCTTTCCCTATTTTTATTGCTTCTAAAGGAGGATGTACTAATTCTACAATTTAACCTGTAAAAGTAGCTTTTCATGCCTTTGAAAGTTTATTTGCTACACATAAATCTAATTATTCTTCTACGGGTTTTATATATTTAAATTGTTTTTATTGTATAAACTAATTCCAAAAAGGAATATTTTCCTTAGCTTCTATCATATCTTCATATTAGAGTTCTCTACTACGATCTCTCTCAAATTTAGAGAAATTTTCAAAAAAACCATTTCTTTCTTATTAGTTGAGAATTAAAGTCTAGCCTAATAAGGTCTTTATCTATTTGGAATTCTTCCTAAATTTATAAAAGATTAATCTTAAAGTCCGTCTTTGTTGGTTCGTAGGACTTTACAAAGGGGACTTGATTCTGGTTGTGTGATAAGCCGATGATGATGCATCGGTTATTGGTGTTTCATGTGCGGCATATATTATACCTAGAGGGTGGCAAGGTGATTCTGTTAGATCCACCAACCTTCTAGAATAAGAAGATCTCACTTCTAATGGTTCTGTATATGGTCTTGATGAAGTTGAGGCTCTTCTTAACCGTATCTCTGCAAATCTATCTTGCTCATTGAATATCGAAGCTAATTCAGTGGATTCCATAGGTCTAGGAGGCTCAACATTGGCTATTAGCCACATGTCTGGTAACTTTACATATTTCCACATAATTTATCTAGGAATTGTGACATTATTTCTAGTATTTCTTTGGAACAAAGTTGTCATTCCCCATCACTACAAGTAAAATGACTTTTAGTGGCAATCAATCCCTAAAACTGTCGTTAGAGACTTTACCAGCAATCGGCAAACTACCGCTAGAACCAGCAATTGGCAAACTACCGCTAAAAGAACTATTGCTAAGACGTTCTAGCAGAAGTTTTCACAACTGTCGATATAAATTTTAAACTTTTTTTTAGCGGCAGCCGTGATTGTCGCTAATACTGATTCGACTACCGCTAAAAGTATATGTATATGTTATATATATATATATATTTAAATAACCCATTTTTTATATTTTCTAATTTTCTTCAAATTACCCATTTTTTCTTCTTTGTATTCATTTAAATCAAAATAAAAAAAACATCAATTACAAATAAAATTTAAAAAACCATTCTCCATTCAAAATATATGAATCACAAATACATCTTAATTTCAATTTGATAAATTCTTCATTTGTACAAGAATTCAATAGGGTTTGAACCGAGCTTTCTTCATCCACCCCTTGTGTTTCTAACCACTTGTATTGATCGTACCGGATAACTCGCTCACGGAGCTCTTGTGGAAGCAATCTATGATGATGGATACATTGCTCTGAATCACGCCTTTTGACTTTCTTCATCTCCTCAAGCCAAATTGTAAGAGATCCGTGATAGATCTGTACAACATCACAACTACCAAATTACCAAGATGAACATTTCCAAGCAACAACTGCACATAACCATCTACTCTATAAGGTGTTGACTGCTCACTACTGAGTAATAACATATGCTGCAAATAGATTACTTCTATGCCTACCGGTGAAGCGTCTTTGCAAGGCTAATATATATATATATATATTCTTATATTTATGTAATAGTATTGGGGAAATCCCTGGAACTGGATTTGGAAGTCCAAAAATTTAAGGTTTAAGATTAAATGCATTTCTTGGCAAGATTTGTATCCGATCAAATGCATTTTTTAATTAAAATTTTAGGTTTAAAAGTTTACGGGCTTAAGGGGGTTAGGGATTAGAGTTTAGGAATTTTACATAAAAATAAAGAGATTTTGTCCGATCATGATAGGAGTAAATATGTGCTCAAGATCATTTACATACTTGCAAAAACGCCAAACAATAGAGACACTCAAGATCAGCTGAATAAGTTCCAGAAACATCTACAATAAACACATAGAGGAAAAGAGAGAATCCCACTTGTTAATATTGATATCTAGTAGTGAGAAAGCCGAGTTCTAGGTTGTCCTCTGGTTGTCGTCTAGTTGTGAGAAACTCCAGTTGAAGTCGAGAGAGAGAGAGTGAGAATAAGAGAGAGATAGAGATAGAGAGAGAGAGTGGGAGAAAAAATTATTTACGCGGGGGAGGAGAAGAGGAGACTTGATTCATTTTTGGCGCCACCTTTATAGCGACAGTCAAAAATGATTTTAGTCAATTTTAAATGACTACCACTATATATTACTATTACTAGCGGTAGTCGGTCTATAGCCACTTCTTGAACTTTTGTCAAAAATGTATTTTTTTGTAGTGCTTATTCCTGTTATCATAATATTAGGACAAATGGTATTCGTGGTCTTAAAGTAAATTTTGTAAACTAATATTATATTTTTTAATCCAGGTTTATTTTGATAGCAAAGGTTGTGTTTAGTTGTAGTGCAATTTAATTTGTACTAATACAAATGTATGTGCGTAAATGAAAGAAATGCAAATTTTGGTTTAATTTTGTTTTGAGTTTTACTTTATTTATATTGCAACCAAACAAAGTAAGGTAAAATTTGAAATAAAAATAAATCAAAATTTAAACCCAAAACATTGCACTGTCATAGTTTTGCATCAGTGCAAATAAATCTGCACTACAACCAAACACAACGAAAGTAACAAATCCTACCCATAACCGGTTGCACAAAAACTCAAACAGTGCAAATCTAAGCTTAAGCATAATATTGTTGATAACTTGATATATTACCTTTCCGTTCTCTTTCTTAGTTTTCACTTACCAAAAGTCAAAATAATGGGTTTCGACCAATTGCTCCACTTACTAATTAAGAACTCAGATATCATCGTTGAATTAAAATCATTTTCTAGTAAAAAATAAAAGAGTAGATTGCTAAAACCTCCCCTGAATTTTTGATTGTTGCTGCCCTTGAAGTTTAGTAATTGCAATCACCTCCTTTTAACTTTCTGACATAATTGCGAGTAAACCCCCTTTGATAGAACTTTTTAAGAGAAGGCATAAAAATGTCTAAAATACACATGCAATTATTTTTAGGCTGTATTTAGTTTGAAAGAAAATGTAGGGAAAGACAGAAACCTTAATAAATCTTCTATAGTTTTTCTACATTTCCCTTTCTTTCCCTACTTTTCTTTCAAATCAAACACTTAGCAAAAAGTTCGTTTTCTAAATTTTCTTTTCATATGAATCACTGTCCCAAATCCTTCAAATCTCTTTTTTGAAATTGATTTATTTTTTAAATTTGTCCCTGTATTAATCACTCAAAGGTAAAACTACAACATCAATAGTAATTGTATAAATATTTTAGACATTTTAATGTTGTTTTTTAAAAGATTTGTATTAGAGGAAGCGAAGGTGATTGCAATTACCAAACTTCAAGAGAGTTTCAGTAATGCTTAAAAACTTCAAAAATGATTTCAGCAATTTACCCAAAATAAAAAATGCCAACCTGATCAATCATTTAATGAAAATCGTGAGAACCAAAGCCACTGAGATTGGAGCTGGAGGTTGTTATGAGTCCTCACCATTGTAGTCTTCCAGATTGAATCATCTAAAGCTTTTCACAGCTTTTGCATTGACATCAACACCCTTTAAATCATCCGAACTGTGAGATTTTGATGTAAGGAATTCATCAAAATTCTGGTTTGACATTAGAGTTGGGATTTACGAATAAGAATGGCAACGGGGCGGGGATTACATTTCCCATCGCTGACCCCGACCCCCAAATCACCCCCCATCCCTGTCCTCGACTCCCAAATCATCACAGGATGACACTTAACCAACAATGCCGGCGTCAACAGGTGAAACTCTCTCTCTCTCTCTTATGGATTTCCTTAACCGTTTGGTTGATTTTTCCCTCCACCGGACAACACAAATTGGCAACGTTAAGGTTAGCAGTGTGGATTCTATCTAGGCTACCCTAATCACTTCTCACCAATCCATACGACATACAAAGGATTGTTGGATTGTTATAGCCACAACCACTGCTTTGTCTGAGTCATCTCAACAACCTCCAGAAACAGCGGCAACTCCAGAAGTCCCGGCCCAAGCCCTGACGGCAACGCCAACCAAGAAGAAATGGTTTGAGTAGCCTAGCGATAGCATTTTCTGTCTCATAGTCCATGTTCTTAAGGTCAGTAGAATCATCGACCGCAAGGGCGAACTAGTCAAGAAGATATGCAAGGAGACTCGCACTCGCGTTCGCATTCTAGATTGACCCATTGGCACTTCTGATCACATTGTGAGTTCATATTTCTCTCTCTTTCTCATGATCCCATTACATTTTCCCGTAAATTTAGTCAATTGTGTCTTTTAGGGTTTTCTCCAATTTAATTGAAAAATTGTCTTATTGATCATTGGATTAGGTATTGTAAATAATTGCTCAAGAAAATATTATTGTTTTTTAATAATGTTGGTTGTGAATGGTTGAAGCCTAGGCTGCAATCCAACAATCCTTTACCGGTGAAAAAGGAATTCACACTTTATATATATATTATTCAAAAAAAAATCCTCTTATATGTATGTTTGAATTCATTGCAGTTGTCACTTATAAAATACCAGTATTTAGAAGACCACCACCTGTACCCATAAAAGCACTAAAAAACACTTAATTGTGGAAAACATGATGGTCTGCATATAAGAACAAATTAATTATCATGACATAAGCATGCTTTCAATCTCATGGAACTCTAAGAAAAGACTAGGAATATAAAATAAATTTATATGAAACTACCACGTCTTTATGTTAAAGAGATGAAACTAACACATGAGAGTTGGGCCAACTGAGATGGTTCAGGTATGTCTTTAGAAATTGGAGCTTTTTCTTCTCCAAACCACCTATTATCCTATCTATAGCTGCCTTGAAGTGTTCCATAGAAATCTGTGATACCTCATTTCTTGCAGCAATTAACGCAGCTTCATTACAAACATTTGCAATATCAGCACCATCAAATCTAGGAGTGAGAGCTGCAAGTCTCTGAGAATAATATGACTGTTCTTGAGCAAGCTTGAGTTGAGTTTTTTCAGATAAATCCGAAATATCTGTTCAGGAAGGCCTTTCTTTCAGGTCTATTGAGAATTTCTTACCAAAGAGTTTACTTCCTTTCAGGTATATCATGTTCATGTAGACCCTTATGCATGAAAGAGTTGTCCAATTCATTGCTTGACATTAATAATTGCAGAAATAGTTTATTGATCAAAATTTCAGATATAATATATATAGTGCAACCTAATGAATAGGCTTGCAAGTTGCAAGTCAAAAGAAGAACAAATGTTCATGTAGACCTTTCTTGGTTTGGGGTGCTTTTATTTTCTTCTCTTGGGTGACTTCCTGTCACCTTTCTTGTAATTTTCTGCTTTCTTTTAATAAAATTTTTATTTTATTTACAGAAGAAATCTTTATGTCATATCAACGTTTTCATAGCTTATATCTTGCTTTTACAAGTAAAAAGTTCAGCAACTTGTGAGAAGGCCTATGCAATTTTACTCAGAAGTACAGATGGTAAAATATAAGGACCTCATGCTTATCAAATGCAGGACTGCAATTAATATACTTGTACACCTAAAAGAAACAAAAGTGAAAATCCATACACTAGCAATCAAAACTTTGACTTTTATGAACTAGAGTTGTCACAAGCTTCTCACAGGTGTGTGGTATATTGAATTTTGACAGTGATTCCTTTTGCAAACAAGAAGTGAAGATTCTGCAAAATCCAATCAAATACACATCAATAATTCATCTTTACTAATCTTGGAGGGACAAAGAGTGAAATCATTGACTGATCAAGGAGGAAGATTTAGTTTGCTCCAACTCCAAAAGATCTTTGCTGTGAGGCCCCGTTTTATCCTTTAACGTCCTAAGTTGCTCCATCTGCAACTTATTGAATTTTGTTGCTCAATTGTTTGACAATCAATTATGTTTCTTTGTTTCTAACCGCAACCCTTGCTGCCAGCTTGAGCCAAGGGCTTGTATGCTTATCCTACTCATTAATTAGAGAGCCAAAATATTTATTTGTCTTTGAACTGCACCTTTCAAGTTGTACTTCAGTGCAGATTAACCAAAATCTTAGAGGCTGTAACTTAAGATGCTTAGAAAAAATCCCTATTTGTCTTTGAACTCTAGACAAGTGGCTTAACTTAAGATGATTAGCACAAAAGTTGTTTCTTCCAACAAGTGGAGTTTTGATTCTCATATTGCAACATCATTAATGGTTAATTAACACACATACCAAGAACTTTTGCAAAGAGATTTGAGCTTCCATTTCTCTTGATTTGTGTTGATCCCCAAAATATTGGGCTGATGAAATAGACTTGGCATTTGAGAACTTCTTCCTTGCTTCATCAGTTTCTTCAATTTGATCATAATAATAAAGAACAGGACATAAATATGCAGCAATAAAATGCCCCATCTAACTACATAAGTATATAACTTCTAAACAATACAATGCCAAGATGATTAAACACAACAAGCTTTGCCTGCATATACTTACTAAATGTGAGCAACCACCAGAAGGTTATTAAAAAAAGCAGAGTCCTACCTTTTCCTGCATATACTTACTAACACAAACAGCAACCACCAGAAGGTGATGTACATAGAGAATTACCAAACACAAAGATGTCTGACATATATAATGGGTAAACCAATATATCAACTCATAGGGAGCTTCACTGCATAACTCCACCTTTTTATTATGGATACATGACTTCACCTATTTCTGCTTCATGGAGGGATCATATGGATGATCCAGATAATCAGTTGGATTGGGGGCTGACTGGATTGGCCATGTGATCAATTCCCCAGTCCATTTTTTATTTGATCATCAAGTACAAGGTCTTTTATTTTGGTAAAGACCAACTGCTTCTATGAAATGATTAAACAAAATGAACTTTGTTCCAAGAAAATTAGAATGAAGGAAATATAAAAAACAGCTAAGAGCAGGCCCCTTGCTAGTACAATTGCTTCAAGAGCAGATTGTCACACTTTTTACAATCCCCTGCCCATACCAGGTGAACCCATGACAATTCATTTCTATTTACCCCCACACTTGCAAGGGAACTTGTAGTGATACTGGCATGTATGAACTGCTTATGAGTTACCAGCCTATCACAACCTAGCTTCTATTACCAAGTGTCAAGATTCCAGAGTCCCTCATTTCTTTAGGTTGGCCAGCCTTTCACAACCTGGCAGTCTCCTATAATTAGTTATGTCCAACTTTCAATTAAAATCCATATATGACGTWTATGATTGCTACTTAACTTGTATACTATAAACTTAAGATGATATAATTGAGTTTGACTTGAAAATCAATTAAAATCCATATATGATTGCTACTTAACTTACATAAGCTGGAAATGTGTATGTATGTATGTAACTTTGACATTTACATGTTGGTTTCTCTTGTTTATCTAAGTAACCATCAGACATGTGAAGATGAATGCCCCCATATTTATTCCTGTGTCCATCTATATGCAGGTCATATTAGATTTCGTTTTCCTTAGCTAAAATTTGGCATATCTGCTTCAGATATTAGTCTGAAGCTCAACTTGCAACTTTTGAATGGGTTAACTTCTATAGAAATCTATTCTGTTATATCCAATTCAGCTATGATATAATATTCCTTAGTGGCATCAATTGGTTGTACACTAGAATCTTCAAGTTGTAAGATTGAAGTTAGTGTACTCCACAGTACTAAATGATGATTCTCCTTGGTCATAGAACCAAGCCTTTATTTGTTTGGGTGTGATTGACCACATTACTAAATGATGATCTCCTTGCTCATAGAACCAAGCCTTTATTTGTTTGGATGTGATTGACATGCCCACATGTCTGTATAGGTGTGCTCGTGTGATGATACACTGGTTTTCAGATGATACAGAATCATGGCATGTTGATTATGGCATATATGTAACTTGGTTTTCAGATGATATACACTGGTTTCATTACAAAGATTCATGAGGTTACCTAGTCCACCCCTTCCAAGAGCCCCAGATCAGTGGAATCATCATAAGTGTTTCATGGTAAAGCCATGTTAAGAATATACAAGTTCTCACGTTATGTCCTTTATTTATTTATTGTCATGTCCCCTTGTGTGATTTAAAATATTATGTTGTGTTATTCTATTGCCAAATTTGATTTGAGGGAAGATTAACATAGTTTGGCAATCATGATGCAGGCCTTCCACGTGGACCCAAATGTTCTTGACAGAACCCAATAGGGGAAGATGATCAATTCTAGCTGGGGTTTTGGGCTTACAAATGTTCTTGACAGAACCCAATAAGGGAAATCCTGGTACGATGTACACATGACAAAAATAGCGGTCTTCAAGCGCATATTATTTTTCAGGTCTGATACTCCTGTACAAAAATGATATCCATTTACAACTCTTCATCTCTTCCATCCATGAACAGGGGAGAAAGAATTTATGAAGGGAATTGATTTATTTTCTGTTTCAAACTCCCCTTGTTAAAGCATTAATGCCACTGGATGCCAGATCAACTCAGCAGACTGTTGTAGGCTGAGTGTCCCCTTTGGTCACCTTCTGCTGCAATATTTCTGATGTTCTTGGGGGTGAAAAATAGTTTATTTATTTATTTTGTTCCGAGAATACCAGAATCATTCCATTGGTGCATAAATCAAATTGCCTTATTTTGTTCTTTGAATGCCATTGAGGTAATATTTGCATGCCATATTTTATATGCTGTGGAGCACACTGCACTTTTTTGTGACAACAGTGCATAATACCCCCTTCAATTAGGTTGAGGCTAACCTCAAACCTGCCCAAGTTGCACCAGTTTTGGGAACCAATAAATTAACTGATGGTTGCACTTTAGGCAACTGGGTTGTTACAGGTTGGGGGAGTATGTAGAGATCATGAACGCCCTATTCTGAGTTTTTCAGGCCTGGTGTGTGAAGGTAACTCAATTAGGGCAGAGCTGAATTCATAGAGCAGCAATGTTGGTGTCAATAAGCCAAGAAAACATCAACTTGATATTAGAACTTCTTGACAGAGATCTGAAGGAATACCTGCTTCACTAATGAACTTCTTGACAGAAAGCATTTCAGGCCTCATTCTCTTCATGTTGCTTTTTTTCTGCTAAGCTAAATGCATGTTTAAGCCGGGGCTTTGGAAAACAGCCTCGTCCCTGCAATGCAATGAAATTTAATTTGTAGCATTTATTAATTAAGCTCGTACATATATTATGTTTTCTACAAAAGCTATAAGTTGACGGTTTTAATTAGTGTTTGTAAGTTTGTAGTATACAATATAGGATAGGGAAAATTTTCAATCCCCTTCAATATGGTATATATATTCTATTGTTCATCGTTGAAGTAGGATGAGTTGCATGAACTTATATATAACGTGGTTGTGGTATTAATTAATTCAGATGGGTTACCGCCATTTCGACACTGCAAGGAGGAGGGGATCAGAATCTAGGAAGCAATTTGCAGATTCATCATCAGCAAGGTCAAACCCTCATGGTTGTGACCAGGATTTGAGAATTAATATTCAATTAATATAAGAGATCTGATCCACTGCTGAAGGTTCAGATCACTGTTCATTCCTTGTAGGTTATGTTGGCTTTGAGTTTTTAATAATTGAATTGTTTAGTGTTTAATAATTGAGTTCCGACCTGATTACAGCTCTAACCTTGGTAGGTTATGTTGTTTAGCGTTGTCATTAATTAAGTGTATTAGCAAATGAGATTAATAACTCAAAAATGGGACTGGTAATTCAAGTATTGGACCCAAGAAATTTTACTTAATGACCCTCGGGGATTCAAATCCCGAGGTTCAACCATCCGGGTTGAACGGTTTGACCCGTGACATCATAAATAAATTAAAAAACAATAAATATTTATATATAATAAAAATACCATAAAAAATTTAATAAAATACAAATAATACACAGAAAATACAGGAAAAAGAACAACATATGAAAAAATAAAAATAATAAAATACAGAAAATACAAAAAAACAATACAGAAAAAAATTCCAAAAAGTATAGAAAAAAATTTCAAAAAATACAGAAAATTACAAGGCCATGTGGCTTCTTTTATATAAAACAAATAAAAGAAGTTATAATGACAAGAATATCCTTGCCATCAATATGAAAGAAAAAAAACCTGGCACAGCTAGTTAACGTCAGAAAAATATCGTCAATAATAGATAAACAAATGGGACCACAAGTTAATCAGCCCTTTTCTCTACAGTTTACACACTATACAATATAGTGCTTTCACCTCCAATTTAGCTAGAGAGTAAGCTAAGGAATTAACGGCCCTCAAAATTCATTTATAAGAGCAAAAATATTTGCTGAAATCTCTTGGATCTCATTCAGGAAGTGGGCAAGTCCCCAAGGCCCACCCTCAACTCCTCAAGCCTTGAAGTTCAACCAATAAACCAATAATTCAATAGTCTTATTCATGACAATGGTCTGTAAAATTCTAGTTAATTCAACAATAAATCAACTCAAGAAAATATAGTGAAAAGGAGAAAACTCAAGTCAAACTCAACAAAGCCCTCAACTCCTCAACTCCTGTAACAGAACCATAGATTCAAGTATCCAACCAACCTGATCACAAATATGATTATTGGCAGGTGAATGCAATTCTAAAAGAGACAACCCGCTGTAATAGATGACAAGAGAAGCAGCAGCCTAGTGAATATTATCTCTTTTCCCCAACCTATCTTGTCTTCATAGTCACAGCTGATGACATGAATGGCTTCTTTCAGCGAAGACGCAGGGCTAGCTTGCACTCTTCAGTGTTCCACCATTCTCAAGCAGGGTGGATGCAACGAACATGGGAGATTGTCCAAAGAATCGCATCCTAAAGAATCGGAACTAACAATTGATTTTGAACTAGTAGAAAACCTTATGTGCTGATTTCGGCCAAGCTTCTTGTGAAAGGAAGAGTAGAAAGTTAGGGATTTCAGCAAGAGACAAAGGAAATGGAAGAAAAGAGAAGAAGATCGACTAGGATAGATTGTCTTAATCCTAGCCGCCAATCCCTCATTCTATTTATAATTAACTTAAGTATGAGATATTACAAAGATGCCCTAAGTAGGGCGGCAACTCAACCTAAGTAATTACAACTCTTTAAAAAATAAAAACTAATGGGCCCAAGGCCCAA